ATGGAGAACCTCGCTCTAGAGAAGAAATGCACAGAGGATCTCAGGTGACCAGCCAGGAACGTAACAAAACGACATTCGTTTTGACCGGGTTGTCTGTCACGACCAATAACCGAAATTATGACACGCCGGTCGCCCGCTCTGGGATAGCAAGGAGGGGAGAGGGGACTTTTCCTTCTGGTAGAGACAGAAGGAGACTGTCTCAAAATGGCTTTAGTTATGTTTCCGTGATCCTCCTGCTCTTCTTTAAAGTGAAGTTCTCCCAATTCTTCATGAGTCGGGTCACGCAGCGCAGGTCGCAGGTCGGCCTACAGTCCACATTTTTAATTCAATTTTTATTGACAATGACAAATTTAAAGCGGAAAATAATTGCCATTTTTGAATGGCCCACGGCCCACACAAGCTGCATTATTTCGGCACTCTTTCACACAGAATGCGAGGTTCCAAAACACGCGTGCAATCCGCAGCAGGAGGCGCGTGGCTCAAAGGATAGAGGAGGGCGGGGGAGGATGAGGAGGATCCCCGTGCAGTGTCCAGGACGAGCGGGCAGGGTGTTGCGGGCTTAGAGGGGCGCGGGCGGCGAGCCAGGCGAGCGCAGCGGCGTAGTGCAGTGCGCACCGCGGCCGTCTTCTTTCTGGCGCCTCGCCCCGCCCCACCCAGCCCTCTCGCCCGAACGCCCCGCCCTTGCCTCCCCCGAACACTACACCATCGCCTACGCCGCCGGCGAGGCGAGCTGCGAGCTGGAGGGCGCCGACACAAGAGCACCGCATTACCACAGCACTGGAGTAATCCCTCCTCGCCTCGGCAGCAAGCGGGCGCGCGCACAGGCCAGGCCGACCGGCTTAAAAGGGTTATACCGCACGAGGTGCAATATATGAAGAAACGTACCTCCCGACGCACATTATCGCCGAGCCGCCGCGGCAGCAGCAGCACGCCGAAGAGCGATCGGCAATACCGCCCGCCCCGCCCTCCGCGCCGGACAGGACAATCAGCTGATCGACAGCCCCCCCCCCTTTTCACCACCACCACCACCTTCCCGCAGCAGTTTAGTTACTCATGCGCATCATACTTAAACCTTTTCAGGGTGGCCCACATACCCCAGGCAGCTTTGAAGGTTTACTGTACCGTGTTGTCAGGGCCACGACACACCAGTATGCTCCCTCCACCTCCATCCGCAAGGGGCCACGCATGGCCCTTCGGGAATGCAAACCCGCATCACTATTGTGTCGTAGCCTTGACGGACGGTACCGGGTACCGCACGCAGTCGTGCGGGTGGGCTTGCCTACCGTCTCTCACTACGGCGCATTATGCCCCTAGCGAGTAGGCAACGCCTGCATACGGTACAACACAAAACTATGAAAATTGTCTGGGATATATGAGCCACTTTAAAATTCAGAAAGTATTTTCTAGGCCTTATTGGTCTCTTTGCACCGGCGTGCCTAGCGGGAAGCTGCAGTGTTGCGGGACTGCATACCCTCACGAGCGCAGGGGCCATACGGCGCCTTTACGGGCGGAGTGAGCGGCAAACCCGCAACACTGCAGCGTCCGCTTTGATACATCCGGTGGTATACGGTAACTTTTGTGCACAAAGCAGGAGGGCGGATGGCCAAGCAG